CTCAGTATGGTAACCAGTTTATTGCAAGAAATCTGAAACGTAGTATTTGTAACATACTTTTTCAAGTATACTTCTCCGTAAAGATTGATTATGGCAATAAAAGGCGAAAGGAAACTAAAGTTATGCTTTTTATTCGCTATATATTTTTTATAGGAACAGGCATAAAAAAGTAACTCGTCAAACATTTTAAATTTTCGTTTTAATTAATTTTGAAAAAAAATATTTTCTTAATTTCTTGAAATGGTGCCTGTATAAGATTAAAATAAAAAAAAACAAAATTTATAGTAGCTAAAAATGTTTAAAACTTTTTATTTTTGTTTTTTTTTCTAGTGAACATGGGCAGGGAAGGCAGTGTAATGCAGAAGCATCCGAAGGAGAAGGCACTGCAACGACGTCAGTAGCTAAATCTATCTCTATGTCCCTGTCTATATGTATTTCTGGTGTACAGTTTGTGTGCATTGTCGTGTCGTGGCCATGAATATTTAATGAAATTAGCTTAGGAATCTTACAACATTTTGCCGCGTTTTCTGGGCCACCAAGCGACCCACGTGTTTGCACTGAAATTCCGAATGGTGGTAAAAAGTGGGGGGAAAGAGGGAATAAGCCACGATGCATGTGACGCCCACAAATATGCAAGGATAATGAAGCCGGAAAGCTTCCATGCGAAGGATAAGACACATTTCAGTGCAGTTAATTTACTCATTTTCTATTCAAAATGTATTAAACGTCATATGTAGTGAAAGAAAGTTAATTAAAATGTTGGTTTTCTTCAGCTTAGCTATTTTATCCAGTTAGCGTAAAGAGTGAACTTTTTAAACATATATTTTTGACTCGTTAATAAAATTGGTAAAAAATTGAATACTAATTTCTACTTATTCAATTATTTTTTTATCCCTTTTCCATTAAATAAAATCCTTCTAAAGAAATGTTTAGTTAAGATTAAAAATAAACATAGGAATACAAATGAGAGTAAAATATGTACAATTTCAATATTTTTAAATAAAAACACCTTCTGTGCAATACATTTATTCCTTTATTTTAACATGTTTACCCTATCAGTGAGTTAGTTATTAAGTTTTTCACCAAAAACTAATTACAGACTATTAAACCATTTATTTAGCGGTTTGAAATAATTAACGAGAGCACTCTTCAAACTGTCATCTTTATTAATTAAAATTTTCCCAATTATCCTGTACAAAAAACAAATACCGAAACCGATGATTTTGCGAATTAGCATAGATTATATCGACCTGGTGTTTTCCTGTTTGTTTAATGTGCATAAATAGCAAAGCAAATTCACGCAGATGCATTTCAATATGTGACCGAAAAGGAAAAGCGTAATCAATAAATTTCCATGCACCCAAAGCAGTCATAAATGTATGGGGAAATTGTGGAGCGAGATGGAGGCTAGAAGCCCTTTCGGTGGAATGCATCGCAATACAAAAATACCACCGCTGCCAGCATAAATCATAAATGGCAAACGTAAAGTGGATCGGCTAGTGGGGAATAGGGTGAATAAGCTCTCCATATTGAAACATATGCTACAGACTGAATGTGTTCAATAAGCAATAAATGACTCCCATAGTGGATGCTATTTGCAATGAAAAAAGTTATTGCAGATAGAGTTACAAAGTTTCTATGTTTTGTTCTTTAATGTTCTTTAATGTTCTTTAATGGAGCAGTTATATAAAATCCCATTGCGAGTATTTAAAAACTATTTTAAAAAAATGTCAAATTTTATTGATCTTAAAATTATATAACAAAAATGCTAAATCAGAGGTACAAGTAACATTTGGGCCACTCCCAAAGTAATCACCCTTGAATTTCTAAGCTTCCCATAAACGAATTTTCATGCTGTTTTTCTAGATCTTTTCCGCATAAGTGGGGGGTACTATGAGTATACAAGAAAAATGGCTCCAACTTATTGTTAGTTTTGCCCTGTTATCCTTGCACTTGCAGGCAGCTCCTGCGGTTGCGCCTGCTGCTGTTGACACGAAAAAATTGTATATAAGAGGACGCCCCCTGTCGACAATTGTATGAAAGGAATATAATAATACTACAGGCTGCACATAATGATATAGGGGCCATGGCAAGACGACCAAATGGATGAAAAGTGGGCGGGAAAAACTGTGATGATTATGAGCATGTCGCGAAAAAAGGCGAAAACAACAAAAAAGTCAGAGTCATTGAAGAATACAAATATAGTACTGTACATATATATATTTGTCATACCCTGTAGACATTTGAGTAGGGTTTTGTCGTTAAGGTGAAAGTCAAATTAGTTTCTAAACTGAAAACGGTTGTAAACACTTAAGAAAAAATCTTTATAAAGCGAAATATCCGGTTTAAAAATGTTTCTGCGATATATAAGCACCATGTTCTCCAAACAACCGAAAAATATATTTGAATAACATAAAGAAACTAAAAAATTTACTTTTTATAATTTAGATAATACTTTTTATAAGCTTATAACTTTATTTAGCTTTCCGAACAACTTCATTTAAAATAATTGTTTTCTTAGACATATTTTTGTATGCCGTTTTAGGATATCTGATAGTCACATCCTTAGACTTAGTATCGCAACATGAGAAACGTATTTACTGATTTTGAAAGGCCACTCAAGGACAAAAGGCAAACTACACAATGCTTAGTCCTTCCTCATCCCTGAGAACACAATAATAGTTGTATCTTAAGGAAAACCAGCGCCCCAACCATCTCGATTTTAGAATCTGAACTTGACTTCAAGACATTTGGCCGCATTTGGTGTGCAAATCAAAATTTCATAGGAAAATGTATGAGAGGGTGGGAGAAGTGAAAAACTTTAAGATAGAGGAAAATAATTTCTTGTTGAGCGACAAGTGGCAAGGTAATTTATCAAGAGAAAAACAAACCTGTCACGAGCGAAAGTTCTCCAGTTCCATCACGCGACAGCGGTTGGGAATTTCCAACCACCCACACCGACACCACCCGTCCAAAGGACCCACTCTCGATGCCCACACGTGGTGGGTCATAAAAAATGTATTACCAAATTTGCTCGAGCTGCACATATCGACGAAGCGCCGCGAGGCGGAAACCTCAAGAAAAAAGTGGCTCATTTCTGCAATGGATCACGGACTTTTTCCTGGCCAGTGAGAAATGGCTTCACTTTGTCCTAGCCTCTCGGAGCTTTAATCCCTTGATTGGAATTGAGGGCTCCTCGGCTTTTTACGACCCAACATCGTAATAGCGTGCAGATTGGCCAATAAGCGGAATCTCTCTGTTTCGAAGGAGGGATGGCAGAAAAGTACTCGAGAAATTCATTCATTAGCCTGATTGACAGGATTTAAAAGCGTTTAAAGAAAAAATTTAAAGCTTTTTGGACACTCCGATTTTGTTTTGTTAGCGGGTAGGCCATGCGAATATAATTTAAGTGTTATTATTATTATAGTTATTATTAATAAAACGTTTAAAAATTTTTAAAAGAAGCAAAAAGAAGGAAACCACACAGCCAAATTTAAATAAAAAAGCTAATCTTACACATCTTCTGTTTTTCTAAAGTACACCCTACCTTTTCGCAGTTACTCCATTTACTTGTAGTCCCCTTTACGACAGGCTCCCGAATCTCTTTCATTTTCCACTTATTCTCGTACTTGAGTGTACCTTTTTGCCATAACTGTTTTTATGGCTCTACAAAATTTTGTTTCGCTCCATACGATTGCAGTTCAATTTTACACATCATAAAATATCGTGGAGAATCGATTCCTTTTGCAATCCAAAGAAATCAATGCGAATCCACAGAACATGCATAATTTATACAAACGAGGGGAAATCAACCCACTGAATCCACCCAAAGGATAACCCACAACCACCCACACACAAGCAATAAAATAAAAACCAAATTGACAAGCATTTGCCGTGGGAAAATAGAACTCGAAATGGAGCAGTACCCAACATCTGTTCATAAATAAATAATTTTGTAATAAAATTAAGAGCTTCGCTTTCTTACCTTTGCCATAATCGTTGTTTGCTGATAAGAAAATTCCCAGGTGAAATAAGCCGACGGCTTATGATATTTGTTTCTGTTTCTAAACTTGGTCACCAAAAGAGCAAGGCGAAAAAACTTTGTTTGTTTTGCAATTAATCAACAATAATTGGTTTTGCTATGTTTGCCTTTTAATTTTGGCATTTATTTTTCACGAATTCCACTTTATTTAGGTTTTCGTAAATTGTAACGGTAAAACAAAGACTCACACAAGCACACAAACTTAGCCTACAACTACTTTTGGAATTATGAATAACTGAGTTTATATTTTATTTACTTCACTTTTATTTCTTTTATTTTTTAAATTGATTTTAAGCGCATATTTTTCAGCTCTTTGGCTGCTGCTTTTTAGTGATAAATTATTTGCGGATAAACTTTTACCGTAGACACGTCCTACCAAAAGTTCGATCCGTTTTTCACCGCGACTAAAGAGCATATACTCGATGAACACTCTTTCTAGGGATGGCATTTAATCGGTTTCGCAATCGATACATCGATACAACGCTTAGTTAATCCGTGGTTCAGAAGTCCGCTACCATTTAGCAGAGACTCAACCCCAACACTGTAATTCATTTTTAATAGTTTAACAAACCAGTTTTTGAATTGTTTATGGTACCAAATATGGATACATTTAATTTAGTTGGATAATTTTGCAACAAGACGCATATTTACATACAAAAGAAGGAAATAAATCTCACTTTGCTTGGAGACTTAAGAACATAAAATATGTGTTAAATGAGGGGCTTGAGATGTGTTCGGTAATTCATTAAATAAATTTAGATTTTCAAATAGATATATTAAATTAAAAATCTTAGTTCGTCCTTAAAATAGTTAACTTAAAGTTGGCGCAATTAAAAAGTATATTAAACTTATTAATTGTTTTCCACTAAAATGTTGAAGCACCAAGTAAACAAACCATTGCAGCATTAAAAAACGTCGAATAGTTAATCCATTTGATCCATTTTCGTATTCATATGTATTACAATTAAAGCTGTTTTATTAACTACTGCCAACGTTTGCTTTACAACACAAATCTCGATCCATTTAACGAACTGGCACCCAACTCTCCAGAACTTGGCCGTAGGTCTTGCGTTCTAAAAATGTAATTATTGTTTTAGTAAAGGCTGGTGCCATTGTAGAATACTCCCTATAGACTAACCTTTGACGGGAAAATCGTCGGGATGCAGTTCGATATAGTGCCGAAGGACAGCGTCTCTTTTGGCCAGATATTCACTGCGTTTCTGATCGAAATAATATCCTGCACCGAGTCCAATTAATCCAAAGGCAATATGCTTCTGAATGCCTGCAAATCAAAGGGATATGATTAGTTATATTCGACAAAAACAATGTTACGTCACATGGAAACGAGGGGAAAACGCACCGGAAAACACGGGTCTACGGAAGCCCCAGTTGATGAAAATGGCCGCGCCCACTCCGGCCACTCCGCAGGCGAGCGGATTCCATATTGGACCCAGAAAAGTGGGCTGGCGGTTGCCCTTCTGGGACAACAATTCCAGCGGATCGACCACAGCGCTCATTTTGATAGGAAAAAAACAATAGAGGTGGGCAACTAAAGCTGACGGTGATGGGCATCCGTTCTCGTGCCGCAGCTGTCAGCTATCGATAACTGCTAAAATCGATAGCACACATTCGATAAGAACTGACTACGTAACGATTTTTTTTTCAAATTACAAAAGTAATAAAGCCCTTAAATTTTAAAACGAATATTTTTAGTTTTAATGAAAAGGCGATCAAATAATGTCTTTTATTTGCTTAGTCACAATTGAAAACTATTGTAAAAAATTTAAATCAATAACGCTCAACCGGACAATTTGTTAATGTATTTCCTAACAAGAGTTTCAGACCTTTTAAACATACACTTTGCAAACTTTATACTGAGATTATTATTTTACCATCTGCAAGGGAATAATGAAGAATATTTATGTAATCTATGTATAAACGACTCTTAGATGCGAAAAAACCCGGAAATTAAAAGATAAGCCAAATCACTGAAAAATACATACAGATTTCGTGTTAAAGGTCAGATTGGCACGTATCAAGGCAAGCAAGTGTCTTCCAAAATTTCAGTTGCCTCCTCAATCTCATTTTGTTCGGGTCTACCACTTCGAAAATAAAAGAATATAGAAATGTTTAAATTGGCAGCAGTTCTGTTCTTCTTGTTAGCTGCTGTTCATGGATCAAACTTGGCCGAGCACCAGCACAAAGCTATTGAAGCCGAAAGTAAGCAGCAAAGCCTCAATTTAAACATACAAAAACTTAACCATCTGAATTTAGATGAATGGAAGTCGTCCCTGGAGTTAAGGTATCAAAATCTTCAAAATAGTATGGAAAGGCAATTCTCAGACATTAAGGAAATACTAAGAAGCATTAAGGCTTCAATAATAACTAATAACGCGCCTATGGTAAAATGCATCCCACCAAACTTTGAGCTAATAGGCGATAGGTACTTTTACATCGAAGAAAAAGAAACCAATTGGTATGATGCCCAAATCAAATGTAAAAGAAATGGCGGGTTTCTGGCATCCATCAAAAATGGACAAGAGCTCAGTGCACTAAGTGCGAAGCTCGATAGAGGTGCCAGGTACTGGCTGGGCATCAACGATCGGGCGAGAAAGGGTGATTTTTTGTCTGCTACCTCCGGCAAGAATAATTCCTTTCTGAAATGGAGCCCGGGGGAACCTGACTCCTGGAACGATCGTATGCACTGCGTTGGATTGAAAAACGGTCTCATGGCGATGCACCTGTGCGAAAATGAGAGACATCCAATTTGTCAGGCAGATAACGAAATTTGATAACATAAATCGAAAAATGAAGCAAACAAAACAAATACTTTTAATATAGACCGACCAGGTTAAAATGTGGATTGTTTTTTAATAAATGTAATCAATTTCAAATATAGTAAACTTATCAATTTTTGTGTTCTTTTATCAAACTTCTCAGTCCAAGGGAAAACGGTAAGGATTGCACTTCCAAGTTGGGGAAACCCAACAAACCTTCTTACAGGATACTGTCTAAACTTATGGATATTGATAGGATTAAAAAACTTGGTCCCAAAAACCAATTTTTTTTTAAATGTGTGTCAATCCAGAAAACCTTTTAACCTGAAATAATGTTTTAATATATTTATTTTTATTCATATTTTAATTATTACAATATTACGTTAAACTTTAAGTGGCATGCAAGGCGTGTTTTAAGGCAATTTATAGCATTCTTTAGGGCTTGCTCGAAAATGTGTAAACTTCAAGGCAAACATTTTTGTTTATTTTTTTCATTGGTTATTTTTATATAACCTTTTTGCTCGACATCCAAGGCCTGTGGTAAATACTTAATAGGCACAATTATTACATTAGTTTTCAGATAAAGCTGAATCTTGCCAAAGCCTCTAATATACAGCTAAATGTACATATCCATATCTAGGGGATTATATATCGTATTGAATTTTAAATGGGTCTTTCGCTCGTCCGATAAAAAATAATAAGAACTCATAAGTCAAAAAGGTTTTTTATTTCAAAATTAAGTATTTCTAGTTGTGTTTTTTTTAAATTATCATCAACTTATTTTTCGGCACACATTTTTTAATTCAAAACAAAATCAAAGGAAATCATAGAACTACGAAATTTATAGTCTATAATTTATGTTTATAAAAAATGATACATTAATGTTTATATAAAAAAGTTTCTTGTTTTTTTTCTTCCTCAACTAAACGTAATTATTTACTTAAGATAACAAAAGATCATTGTTTGGAAAAATTAATTGATTCAATTATAAAATTTCCGTTCGTAAATTTCGCAGGTAATTTTTTTTTTGTTTGTAATTGTCGATTTGTTGTATTTTTATAACTTAAAAATAGTTAAACCATAGATTTAAATCAACTATATTGAACATTGAATTCGTTGATCAAAGGCAAACCGCAAATGAGAAAATAAAACATAAACTAGAGTTTTTCTAAAAAATCATTTTAAGAAATGTATTGCAATAAGTTTTGATTCATATCCTTATGTAAATTTCTTGTTGCTTATGTATGTAAAGTTGGTAGGATTAATTAAATGTGTTTTGTTTTATATATTTAAAGCAGTTTTGCAATGACACATAATTAGCACTTGAAATAGACTTGAACAACAACGTTTTGCCAATGGGCATAGATCATTATTAATATGTAGCTTGTAGATCATTGTAAATAGTTATACCATTTTGTAGTTTCTTAGTTGTGGTTTCTTAGCTCGCTGCTGTTTCTCATTACTCTGATTTAGCGTTAGGAATGACATTCGCATAGAAAATCATACGATAAACTATAAAATATGGGCAAAGGGCGGGTGTTGGAGTAGCTTGCGTACATCTATTTAAATCTGCAGGTGAGTTGCATAGACATCGATCTGTTTGCGCCCATATTAGGGCTCAAACCTATGCTCTCCCCGGTGTCCTGTGTTCTCTACGTCTTTTTCACACTTAGCTTTCACTCACTCGCACTCATTTAGCTACTGGTTTTGTATTGTTTCTCTTTCCATTTCCGTTGAGGGACACTGCCTCATCTTAAGCTTAGGATACCGAACTAATTGCATTATGCGGCGAACCCATTTGCGTGAGCACCTTGTCCAGCCACTGAAGCGGCCCGTGCAGATGGATCTCAATCCAGCAGGGCGTCGAGGTCACATCCTGGCGATGGTATTCCGCCCCCCAGCCCTTCACAAACGACATCCGGATCGTGCACATCTTGGTGAGCTCGTACACGGCCTCGAATCCATTGTTCACCGACTGCGAAAGCAGCTGAGCAAATTCCTGGTTGTTAAAGATTTTCAGCGAGCAGCCCGGCGGTATTTTGCACACGGTGCTCGGATGGAACCCATGGTGGTAGTTGCAGTTCCGCGACTGCACGAAAATGGCGGAGTCGGACAGGCACTCGGCGTACACCTCGCCGGTCACATAGTACAGATGGACACCTTTGCCTGGGGAAGCAGAAAAATTAAACAGAATTAGAGGTTGTAAATTAAACATTACCGAAAGAGTTTGGTTTTAAACGTGACCTACTCTTTTCATAACTGATAAGAACACTTTGTATTCTAATTTAAGACTATTTAATTTTCAATCTTAAATAGTTATTTGCCCCCTGAAGTGCTTTGATAATCGCAAAGACTCTATGAATGAGTAAATTTGGCCTAAAACCCACCTATATGACGGCGTGTGTTCTCGATGGTGCTGTTCCTGTTCACATTGCTCAACTGCCCGAGGCAGCAGCGGTCCGAGTTGTTGGACGGATTCGTGAAGCCGTCAACGATGACGGAGTTGTTGTTGCAGTGGAACACCTCGCCCACCCGGCAGTTGAGCTCGTAGTAGGCAATCGATGCCCAGAAGGCGGGCTCCGAGTAGCTAACCTGGGCCACATCGCCCATCTGGGCGTCCAGCAGTTGGCCCCCGTCATTGGGATTGTTTGAGTTGCCATCCTCCGAGGGACTGTAGGCGGGCGGCGGTGTTCCCGCCAAACTGTCGTACGGCGAATTGGGATTGGAGTTGACGGAACTCGGACTGCCCACCGAGGTGGGGCTGGTGCTCAAGCTGTGCGAGTTGAAACCACTGTTCGAGTAGCTCACATTGTGCGGCATACTGGGCTCGGCCACATGATTGAACTGCAGCATCGAGTGTCCGGGTGCGAATTCCGAGTGGCGCGGCACCAGCACAGGCGGCAACACTGGACTCTCCACGCGCTTGTAGTGGTACGGATTGATGCACACCTCCTTCTGCTTGGCGCTAAAGGGATACTGGCAAAGCTCGAGGGGCTTTAGTTCATGGTGCGACTGTAGATCTGGCCAACGCCACACGCGGCAATAGATCACGTGCGGCAAACCCTTGCGATGTGAGACCTAAAATGGACATTACAATTACAATTAGTTTAGAGTTTAGAAATGAGGAGAAACACCATATAGAGGCGATTACCATACCTGTAATCGTCCGTCCAGTGAGCGCGGAATGGTGACACATTTCGAGGGCTGACCGGGACAGGATAGTGCCCGTTCCAGCTCCTCGATGGCGCCCTTGCGCTTCTTCAGCTTCTTCACCAGACTGTCGACGGCCTTCTCCGCCCACTTCTCCTCCTCGTCGCCCTGCTTCCAGCCCAGCAGCTTCTTAACCGCCGGCGATGTGAAGGAGAACAGAGTGCCCAGTGTGGACATGGCACTGCTGGTGTTTGATTCCACATCGTCGGTGTCCATTCTGCTGCCGCCGATTGCTGTTAAACTGTTGTTATTGCTGCTGCTGCTGCTGCCGCAGATATTGTTGTTATTGTTGTTGATGTGATGGCTGTTGTTGTTGTTGTTGCTGCTGCTGCTGAGGCTGCTGCCGTTGGTTTGAGGTGGAGTTACCCGATAACCGGAATAACTATCAGCGGGCGGATAGTCTGTACAAAAAAAAAAAAAGTAAGTAAAAAGCATATATAAATAATAAATTCGAATGGAATCGAATCGCAGACATTCATCATCGAGCTTAGATTGCTTCAGCAACGCCCACAACAACGCATGCAAAATTTGAAATGCACAGAAAGAAATGGTAAGTGAGTTAAATAAAGTTATACATTATTTGAAATTAAATGTATACCATTGAGAAAGATCATACTGCATTTTGTAAAATAGGGATAAGGGGTTAAAATGTCATAAATTATTGAATTATATACCATAAATATTTTGTATCTTTAAGATTATTTAACTTTTGTTTTAAACAACAAGACAATGCAAATTTTTTCTCCAAGTGTGAATACCGACTTGGCCAAGTGCCCAGCAGAAATCGGAGAAGACGAGAGGATGGAGGGAATAGCTGTGGGGCCTTTTAATGCATCATGATTTCGGCTTGTGAATGAAGTCGTTGGGAGGTTCCTGTCATGAACGGACTCCTCCCACTTTCGATGTTGGCGGCCAATTGCATGCAAATTGACTGCAACATTTTCTAATTGAGAATTATGGCTATTATTGTTTGAGTTAGTTGGTTAGCTGGCTGATTAATCGAAACTTGAGTTCGTTAGAAAATTATTTTTATCTTTTAAATATGGCCATTGTTGATCGCCAATCGCTGCTCACGTCATTTGTGAAGCGATTCTAATGAAAGGGGGGAATTTTTTTGGGGTCTGCTAATTCCTTGAAATCTATGAATCCCTTGGGACCAAAAATAAATAAAAGAACGACATTCTTAAAAGAAATAAATTCGTCTAAGCTTAACCTATTTAATATTATCACTTATTAAATTTTGTTTTTATTTTTTTTTTTATTTATGACCCGTTAATTCAAATTAACAATAAAGGGTAATAAACATAAAGAACTTTTATAAAGAAAAGATAATATTTTCATTTGACAGTTTGCAGCTTTTCTTATCACTTCTTAGAAAATCGTTGTTTGAGAAATATTGCTAGTCGAGCAAAAAAAAGCGATGACATATTGCCGTTTCTAATAAAACTATATTTTTAATATTTGTATATTTAAACAACCTATTTGTTGTTTTGACAATTGCTTGAGTTGTCTAACTAAAAACATTTTTGAAATATTTAAAAATTGGGCATAGCAGCTTTACTTTAATCTAATGAATTATTAAATGGTGTTATGGTTATCTGTTTAATCGGATTAAATTAAAAAGAGAACACATGTGCTGATTCATTTGATTTCCCCACTTTGGAAGAACATTTATAATTTTGTCAATCGCATATAAATGGTGCCTCACTGTATTCAACTGAGAACTGCGCCAAGTGGCGAGAACTGCATCTCATAATTAGCTGAAATGATAACCAAATGGACTGCAACTTGTCAGCACCACAAATGTGGGTCTCCCCCTTTTTCCCGCCCCCTTGGGATTTTCCTCCCTTTTAGCTTCTAACGGTAAAGACAACAATTCAATTTGTG